ATTTCTTTAAGGGCCGTCGAGGCTTAATCTTGAATTGACCCGAAAGTTTCTTCAAGGGCCATTTAAGGCTTGATATTGAATTCGATTGGAAGTTTCTTTAAAGGCCGTTGAAGCTTGATCTTGAATCGGGCTGGAGGATTTTCTGGTTTCCTCTAATTATTGACTTTCCACAAGCTTAATCTTGAACTGGGCTGGAGATCCGAGCAAGGAAAATGAAAGTTCCCTGGCGATGATGGCGATTTGATGGCATTGCACGGCGAGACTTTGCTCTTTGGTGACGATGCCAGCGAAAGGTTATTCAAGCTTCTCGAGCTCTTTGATTAAAGCAACGATGTTGAGCTTAGATTTGACTTAGACTTCTCCGTCTGGATTATGCAGTTCTGCAGGGAAAGGCGTCGTGCAATAGTTGTGGAGCTAAAAATAATCACAAGGCGACACGTGAATTTTTGGGTAAAAAGGATAAAATTACCCTCGAGGCACACCGAGATTCTTACGCGCGAGCAGTGGGCAATCATCCCTTAACCAAGTCAAAAGTGCCCAAAATAGGTAACAATTCAAAACCTATTTCATTCATCCTCATCAAATCCTCTCCACACGGTAACTCCTAAATCATTCCTCTTTTATTATATTAATTAGCTAGTCAATTAGGAAATTATTCTAGTAATTAGCTAATCAATTAGGAAATTATTCTATTAATTAGCTAATTAATTGATTTATTATTCAATTATTCCTAATTAGCTACAAATCATGAACCTCACCCAAAATAAAAACCAAGTGACCGGTCATCCTCCTCTTAAAGGGGCTGGCCACACCCCTTTAAATACTACCTCATTCTCTCCAAAACTCAACCTTCAATACTCTTGCTAAACTCCCAAAATTCTCTAAACACTTTTTCCTCAATATTCTAACTTTGGCATAAGAGGTTCTTTGGCCAAAGCCCCCCCTCCCAATTCATCGTGGGCGCATGAGGCTCTTGGCCTTGACCAAAGGTGTTATTTGTTTTATTGGTGCAATCTTGTCCAAGAACAAGGAGGAGGAAATTTGCATCCACAAATAGTGATCTGTTACAGCTCATCATGCTGCATTATTCTTTGCTTGTTTCTTTTGCATAGCAGAAGTGGTGCACAACCTTTTGCCTTTGAATGGTCCTTCAGAGCATCACTTCTCAGCGACTCATCCATGCTTGGCAACTTTAGTGTAAAGAGCCAACATCATATCAATTGTTCTAAAGTATTTGCTGAGGAAATTTGAGGCCTATCAACAGTTAAAGACGAGCACTCGAGAGCAATTTTAGGTAAGCATCCATGCAAAGGTACTGGGCAATCAGTTTCCAGATCGAAAGTTTGATTTCAGGTTCCAACCGATTGCTTTCTTTCTCTTTGTCTTCAAGTAAGAGAAAGGGCAAAAGAAAAGATAGGGAAACAACATGATATGAGATGCCTTTGCTTTCGACCTTGATGATATGCGATACTTTTGCTTTTGAAGAAGTAGATTTCCATATGCTTAATCTTGAATGGGGCTGGAGGATTTTCTGATTTCCTTCGAAGGTTTGAATTTACTCCTTTTATCTGGAGCTGAATTCGATTCAAAGGTGATGGACACTTGATCATGAATCAGACTTGTGATTTGTTCAAGGGCCTTCAAGGCTTGAGTTTGAATGAAATGGGACCACGAGCATCTCTACGTGGCAAGTGATCTTCAACTCCTTCGGGGATGAATCAGCACGTGCATTTCATAACACCTTAGAGAGCTGACTTAAGAATTTGAGGGTCAAAACAAGTCTGTCAAATCTAAAGTACTTTCGACCCTGACGATATGAGATACTTTTGCTTTTGAAGAAGTAGCGGATGAACCAACACTTGTTTTGTTGTGCTTGTCTCCACATGCTTCGATGTATCATTTTCATATGCCTTATCTATGCTCCAGGTAGATGTGGTATCTTCTTTGGAAGAACATCAGCAGTTGAAGATGAGTACTCGAGAGCAATGCTAGGTAAGCAATCAGGGAAGAGGTTCCAGGCAGTCTGTTCCAGATCAAAAGGTTGATTCTAAGTGTCGGCTGATTGTTCTCTTTCTCCTTGTGCTACAGGTGAGAACAAGGACAAAGAAAAGGACAGGGAGAAAGCATGATATAAGATACTCTTGCTTTCGACCCTGATGATATGAGATACTTTTGCTTTTGAAGGAAAGAGTATAAGATTTTGATGCTGATGTAAACCTTTTCGAGTGAAAAATGGTTTCTTGCTGAGGAAATGAGTTGATCATTTTGAGTGACTTGATTGAAGAGGTATTCTCGGAGATGAAGAAAACAGAGTATGTTGAGAGGTTTGGTTGCAGATGCACTCTTGGCAAGGAAAAAGAGTCAAGCGCTTTGGATGCGTGCCTTGTCATAGGATGAAGGTCAACATATATAGGGATTTCCCAATAGCAGATAGTGGTACTATTCCTTTACTCTTGTTGGCAACCGTTGGGTAATTGAAACAGTAAAATTCACTTGTTTTCAACTTTGTGAAAAATCTTTGACAAAGTTTTATGTGATATCTGCAAAGTTGAGATTGCGTGTGAAAGGTGCTGACAAGATGTGATCCAGAAAATCTAGCTTTTGAAATTCGAAGAGCGGTGCCTCTTCGATCTCTGAACAAGCGACATTGTTGCCTCTTCGATTTCTGAATGGCACTGTTGCCTCTTCGATTTCTAAACAAGTAGCCATTTTGCCTCTTCTTTATATAGAGGCATTAATTGTGTTCAAAAACACATTCAAAGAGTTGCTGCTTGTAGAAACTCCCCTTTTTGCATTTATGAGATTTCGATTTACCCGACCTCTTCTTCCTTCATCATTTCTGCAAATGGCTTGCCTTTTTAACCATCGTCTTGATTTGAATGTTGTGGAAGACGCTGACATGTCTTCTCAAGACAACATATGACACTCATCCTTCTTATCCCCTAACGGTCATCTTACAGTTGGGGACTCTGTGATGAAGAATAACATAACTGCTACGGTGGTAGCTAGAAATTTTCTCGCCCCCAAGGATAACAGGAAACTTCCAAGCGATCTGATGAGTTAGCTATTCAAGACTCTCTGGCTTTTAGTGTTCAGTGCACGGGCTCTGTATCGAATATGGGCCAACGCATTTTTGCTCGAAATCGCCAGGTTGAATCCTTAATGGCTGAGGTGGTGAGTCTTAGGCAAGAGATCAGAAGGTTCAAGCACGAAAACAAAGAGTTGCACATGCTCGCAAATAGTTACTCAACAAGCATGAAAAGAAAGCTTGACCAACTGTTAGAATCCGAAAGTCGGATTCAAAGTGATCATCAGAGGTTTGTGGCTTTATTCCAAAGGCACCTTTTGCCTTCGTCATCTGGAGTTTTACCAAGTGTTGAGGCTCCAGATAGTCAACCTCGGGTGCTTCATCTTTCTGTAGCTCCACCAAATACTGAGGCGCCACGTGAACAACCTCCAGTGCCTCCTCATTCTAGGATTCTGCCAAGTTCTGAGGCTTTACATGAGTAACCTTTGTGAAGTCTCCCTTTTTTTTTTTTTTTTTTACCTCATGTAAATGCACATTTCTATAATTTTCCAAAGAAGTCAATAAATGAGCTTTTATTTCCCCGTTGCCGTGAGAACAAGTAGAGTATATGCAGTGTCTTATCTTCTGACGACTGCTGTAATTCATGTTGAATGAAGTACACAGATCGACCGGTCGGACCCTAATAGGTGACCGTCGATTTGCTCATAGAGCAACAGATTGCAGACTCTGTGCTGATGACCGGGTTGGCTACCGCAGTAACCAGTCGACAGTCCAAATGCATACAAGGATGAGTTCATTCAAACACTATCGTTCATGAGTAAGAGGTTTGAACCAAGAGATGCATGCTTAATCGGAGGAAATTAAGGTCAATCGCATGGTATGTCAAAAGGAGAGGAATTATTTGTTCCAACAGGAGAGGGAATACAAATTTGTTATAACCAAGATCGGACACGATGACGAATTCTACGTCTACTTCAGGAACAATAAGCCTAACTCATCCACTGCCGTTACAGATGCCCTGACGTCTGCAATTGACGAGGAAAATAAGGACGAAGATGGATTTCTTCACGCGACCTACTCTGATGTGTTACCAGTAAGAATTTCAGTGAATTGGATACCTTTTACCTCCTAGACATTCAGTGCACATGCTCTCTTCTTATTTGAACCTTTATGCATTATCGTCGAGAAAGCTGCTGCAAGGAGTGACAGAAGCAGAAAGGTACTGCTTGTAAATAGAACATATGCATGTGTACTCAAGTCCCATTATCGACTTAGACACTTGGAATGTAGCAGGTAAAATTTTAGCTGAATCAAAATATGTTTGGAACTGTTTCAATCGGTGTCCTATTTCGGTCTTACAACTGCCTCTTTTGGAACTGTTCACCAAATTTTGTTCTCTTAGTCATGTTTAGGTTACCTCTGCATACTTCATTCAAATTTATTTCTCTTGAGTTAAGTTTTTAAGAGGCTTCTATCTTTCAATTCTTCTAACTATTGGTGGGCTTTACGCTAATGTGACAATTTTTTCTCATTTGGGGATTTCGGACAAGGTGGGAAATTCTCGGTCATGTGGTTGCCACTCTTTTCTTTGCAGCGGTGGAGATGTCAATTGATACCATTGTTCCTTCATTCTGCCAGGATTCCGAAGAACACCAAGTGACAGCACAGTATGCTCCGCCACTTCTGATCGAGGCTCTTTATATGACCAAAACGAGATGCAGAGAGTCACCCAAGGACCCCAATCAAATAGCTTATGTATAATTTTATTTCCTAAATCTTTGCTTAATGATGGAATTTGAGAATCCTTTTAAGAGGTGCTATACTCCAGCCTCCCAGTATCCTTGAATTTTTGTTCCACCTGCATGCGTTCCTAGTGTTAGGCGAATCCGAGAGGGAAAAAAGGGTGCCTCTGTATGTGGATGCATTGCGATACGTTTGAAAGAAAATATCAAAATTAGCGGAGAAAATATTGTACGCAAGATAACACATATCATTCGTACTTGAAGTAAATTATATATATTTCACCCTTCTCCTAGCCACTACACGTTATATATCCAACAATTCAGTGACAACTTCTAACTCAGAAGAATCAGCGTTTGTGTAAAATGATATGGGCACCAAACTGTGGGTGAAGGATTAGTTTTGCAGAAGGAGCATGAGCATAGGATGGAGAAAGCTCAAATGTGAAGTGCTGTAAAATCAACGATATGGCCAGTTTTGCTTCCACCATAGCAAAGTTTTGTCCGATGCAAACCCGCGGACCACCCGAGAAAGGGAAGTACGTAAATTTGTTCTTTGTTGTCTTCGCAACACCTTCCGAAAACCTCTCGGGTTTAAACTCCTGTGCATCATCACCCCAAAGTTCTCTGTCATGGTGAATTAGTAGCATTGGTAAGGCAACTTCGACTCCAGCTGGTAATGAAAAGTTTCGGAATTCTGTTTTCTTGCTAGTGGTTCGAACAAGAAGAGGTGCTGGGTATAATCGCAGGACTTCATGCAAAATCATGGTCACCTGGGGAGCATGCAGTACATATACAACCAATTTAACTTCTACATTTATGCCAAAAAAAGAGATGAAAACACGTCCAAAAGTGTAAAGAAGCAAATACACTAAGCAATCTTCTGAGAGTCACGACTCACATTGCTGACTACTCTAAGCAATTTTCTCGATGCAATGCAGATCAAAATGTACTCCTATAAAGTACGTATTCTCAAGTTATCGATAGCAAACACTCACAACTTTTAGATGAATTATCCCATCAAAGTCTGGCTTGTTGCTTCCAAAGACCTGCAAAACCTCTTCTCTTGCACGATCTTGCCAAATCTGGTTTTGACCTAGTAAAACCATTGTCCAAACAAGCAACAATGAGGTGGTCTCCTGCCCTGCAAAGTAAAACAACTTGCACTCCTCGATCACGTCATACATGCTCATTCCAACTCCTTTGTTATTCCCATGTTCCTTGATTTCCTTCAAGTTGGACTCCATGAGGATACCCAACAAGTCATCTTTTGTGGCTTCACCTGCCCTAATCCCCTCTTCTCTTTTGTTTATAATACCCATGAGTAGCCCTCCTATCTCTTTGTCAATTCCTTTCATCTTCTTGTTCATCTTGGTCGGTACAAACCTGCAAAAAAAAAAAATCATTATTAGTTCCAATGGTGATATGAAGAAAACAAGGGGTCTGACTACAAAGCTATGTCTCATTCAGTGATACAAGTTTTATGCAAGATCTAACTATTTAAATATTTGTAGCTAATCCATATTCATAAGTTTTGAGATTGGATTGTATGGGATTGACGATGTAATGTTTGGAGCTGGTTGGAAAATGTGAAGCTTTCAAGTTTGGATAAGAAGAGCTAGTCTTGAAGAGTGTCTAGTAGAAGTGTACCGAGTATCTTTTTTTTGATGTTGAGTACTAATTCACTACCGAAATTTTCTTCGAATTAATCGGTGGATCACCACCGGATAACTCTACAGTGTTTCAGTTGTGATGTGTTGAATAGTTGCAACAAAAGCTATAAAATAAAAAACAGAGTTCCTCATGGGATTTTACAGCTGAAATAATATTAATATTGGTGTCTACTTTGGAATGTCACACAAAAAAAGCTTTGTATAGCAAGCTTTTAATACTACTACTTAAATGAGTATGATCTTTCATATGATTAATGAACCAAATTTAATTGTACAAAATTGATTTAGCTAGTTTCTAACCTATTTGGCTGAATGATCTTGCTATTTACCAGTTGAAGACTAAAAGAAATTATAATTTTACCTCCATCCCGGAATGTAAACATTTTGTATAACTTTTGTTACAAGTTGTAATTGCTCTCTCAAAAGTTGAAATATTTTTCTTCCTTCTTTATAGCTACTTCCAAATGCTGATCGAGAAATCATATCGGCTGTCAAATTTTCAAGACAAGGCCGGACATCCAACTCACATGAACCTTCCTTCAACACCAAGCTCTCCCATTCCTTAATCATCTCACTAGAACTTAGGTAAAATGCTGGTAGCATGCCCTATAGAAAACAACCAAAAAATAAGAAGAAAAACCAAAAATTGTCAACATTAATTAGTTATATAGCCAACGCACCTAATACACATCTAAAAAACTAATCACTTATTTTTGTTTCCTTTTTTAGGTCCTTTTTTTTTTTTGTATATTTCACTTTCTTCTTATATTATAAGAGGTAAGGTTTACATCTTCCCTGATTATATGTAACTTCTTTTTTTTTCTGGCTCAATAAAATTTTCATCATACTGTCAAGGTTTTCCTAATAAAAATATATTTCCTTAGCAAATATATTTTGCATATGCGTATTTTGGACATCGATATGGTTTATTTTTAAACACAACTAAACATTTGCGAATGCATGCTGCAATTTAAATCATATTTACTAATTGCGTAGCTAATCACCTCTTTATAATCTGATAAATATATATTACGTACGCACATAAATACTAAACTAATTAGATAGCGTAAAATTTCCACAAACTTTGTATGAATATTATAAATACCTTTAACTTGTCTAAATGGAATGCTGGATTGATAATTCTTCGGTGTCTTCTCCATTTCTCACCTTCATAGTGTGCAGTACCTGTTACTAGCAACTTGACATATGGATTTGATTTCAACTTTGGAAAATCCTCAATTTTTGTTAGGATGTCTTTCAAATCTTCTGGATTAGCAATGTTCACCCTTGGTACTGGTCCCGCCCAAATAAAAGAATTCTTACCTGCATTTTTTTTAGGTTTTTAAAAACTAAAACTTCAAATTAAAATCAAATTATTTCCACTTCTCAAACTAGGCACTACTCATGGAGGTTAGTTTATTGGTGATCTCTTGTTGGCATGTTGTACATCACCAGTTTGATAAATTGCAACTATACGAGGGTCGATGAGTTTTTACCACGAGACCTTCATTACCAAACTGTGTACCACTACATCACTGGCACTGTCTTACTACCCTTATATTGTTAAATTGTGAATCTGGACGACAAATTTCAGATAACACTCATTTCCGAACTATATACGAAGACTAAAAATAAAAATATAGTAAACGTACCGTAAGTGTTCACCGAGTGGTACTCAAAAGGGAGGACTCGTGGGGCTATATCATGAGAGAGGTTCATCGGTTTAGAATATGCTTGTTTTAGCATCATGGTTCTTTCTTTCAAGTCTCCTACCAAAAACCTGTATGAGTTTCCGGCAAGGCCTTGCTGCCTCAGATATCTTTCTAGCTTCTTTGGCCTCAGCCATAACCAGTTGACCACCCTCCATGCCCATGCAGTTACAATTATGCCCACCAAAACAACACCAATGTTAGACACTGATACTTCCATTAATTTGTGTGTTTACGGAGAGAAAAAGATGCGAGGATGGGTTTCGACAGAAAGAAGGATATCTGCTTTTCATAACTTGCATCATGTACATCCATACATGTTCCATGATAGTAAACCTCATAAAGTTAAATCTTTGCAATAATTGAATGGAAGATTTTTTTTTTTTTTCATTTTATATATATATTTTATTTTTTATTTTTTATTTTTTTTTGTCACCAGTTAGAATTGGGGGTGGGGGGAATCCAAGTTATCCAACCTTTGATAACCTCACGCTTATTTAATTCAACAAGTGACTAAATTGAGATAACATCAGTTAATTACGGTCTCTATAACTTTAATAATATATGTGTGGAGTCCTCAATTTTGTTTGTCCTTATCAATCATACCGGCTGCTGCCAGATATCTGTATTTGTGTGGGAGCAGGTAATGAGGACTTCAATTAAATTATGGATTTGCATCTTAACCGGATCATTTTGGAAGGATTATAGAGATCTTCATATTCCATTCGTTCATTATATATCGTGCGGTCATAAATTATTTTGAATTTTTTTATTTAAAATTAAAAACAAACAATACATAACAAAGCACACAATGTACTATGAATAAATATGATGTTAAGATTCCTATAATTTTCACAAAAAAGATTCGGAGAGAATCTCCATCCTTAAATCATGACCTTATCTAAATCACATTCAACACACAAATTAAACTACATGTATTTTAGGTTTTAGGTGGAGAAATGCTAAAGAGATTTTCTCATAATAAACTCTTCTTATATTCTCTACTGCCATCTCACTTTATTTTTTTGTCAATATTATAAAATATTATATTGAAATAAGCGACAGAAAATTTAGAAAAAGTTCTACTTTTTAATAAAGTCTTTCTCTTAGGGGTACGTTAGGACTTAGGGACTTAAAGCTAAAGTAGGTGATGCCTTTTTTATGAAAGCATGGCCACATGGCAGACACAACTCAGATTACGACGCTGACGCCGTGCAAACAGTCGAGAACGATGGTTGATGTATTATGACTCGTTAGCCTCGTTATTAATTTGTAATCAAATGAAAAAAAGTTAAATAGATAAGGAGTTGAAATAAAGAGGCGTTAGAATTAAATTTTTGATGAAATTTTTGATGAAGTTGTTTATTAAGATTTTATGAAATTAGAATAGAATCAGTATAAATTCCACATAAATGGTTTAGTAATGTATTTGGGAATGTGAATTAATATAATTACTACAATACCCTTATTTGATTAAATGATTTTATATTCTAATTTTTTGGTTAAATTTATATACTACTTAATAGAAAACTTGTTAAATAGCTCTATTAACCAAATATAAAACACACTGAAATTTAATTATTTTATTTTCTGTTAATTATTGTTATTGTTATTGTTTAATTTTATATTAAAATGGGCAACAGTTGGTCGTGTCGGGCTCATGGGCAATCTTGAAATTTTAGAAATAAGTAAAGGTATAATAGGAAGGAAAAATTCATTCCGATTTCCCCAACAACTTGAAATTCAATTCCTACCTAAATGTAGGGAATTCAATTTCAGTGAAATATCACATCATTGTCACGTTGTTTAACTAATTTACTTACATTATAACATGTTTAAGTTTAATGATTGTATTATGTAAGGCAGGGACAGAGTAGAGACACAATTTGAAAACCAAATTTTGTTGGATTTTTGTCGTAAAGTTTCAGAGGAATTTCTTTTAATTTTATCACATTTCTCACTTATCAGATTTATTAAGTCTAGTTTGATAGAATAGTTGAACTTTTTTTATCAATACGAATGATTTCATTTCATAACAGAGCCAATTATACAACTTGAATGAGAGAGACAAGGAAAGAAACAACAATAGTAAACAGACAATCATGCACCTCTCATTTGGATGGCCATTCTTCATTAGCAATGAACCACCACCACGGAAAGCTTGCCGCCTGCTATACTTGAAAATTATACACTTCTGTCATCCAAATCATCTTCCAAAGTTGGCTCTAGCCATGCAGGAGCCTCTTCAATCCAAGTCCTGAGCTCGTAACAACTAAAGCGCGAATTGAGCAAGTGAGTGTGCCGCCTTGTTCGCCGCTCTCGGCTGCCATTGACAACCAAAACCTCGAAAACAATTCCGTAAAACTTCGATCTCTTCTACTAGATGCCATCCACTCCTTCTATCAGCTTCTTGATCCAAAACGAAATGGCTGAACTTTTTTGTTTTTTCAAGAAATAATAACTAAACTCTAGGATCACATTTAAGCCCATGTTTCCTTTGTAAAAGAAGTCACATAACAAAACAATACTACTTTGCTTAAGGTTCCAGAAATATAAATAAAGGTCTTCGTCCTCTTCATAAGGTTACAGAAAGATAGAAAAAGGTCTACGTCCTTTTCTTCTGCACGTATGTTCCATGAATAAGATTCAATAATATGAGGTGTAAAACATATTTCGGCTGCGCTAACCCATAAAGCCTTTATACTTGGTTTAAAAGAATATTTGATAATCATTTGTTTTCAATTTTTTGAAATCTAAAAATTTGAAAATTTGTTTGGTAGCTACTTAAATAATAAAAAAAGGAAGAAAACGAAAAAGTGAAAGCCAAAAGTTAGAAAATTAAAGTTAAAAATAAAAAATAAATAAAAAATAACTGAAAGTAGTTATTAAATGAGTTTTCAATTGTTCAAATAATTTAAAAACAAAAACTGAAAATTGATAATAAAAAAGTAATTACAAAACGAGTTTTCAATTTTGCTTTTGCAGACATAAATGCTGTACATATGTTCCTTCTATATATTCCCAGAGTAACATACAAGAACCACAGCACAGTAGTCAAATACATTCCATCGTTAACCTGCTCATATGTTCGTGCAGGTTTGCTGGTATTGAAACTAGCTGCAACTTTATCCCATATTTTCAGGTAAAGTGGCTATTGCCACTATCGTCACACTTGGTCCATCTTTCTTGTAAATTGTTTTCTTTATTTCTAATTGTAAGTGTGCCCATATAGCTGCAGCTTTATCCCATGTTTCTTGTGAATTGTTTTCTTTATTTCTGACTGTAAGTGTGCCAAGGGTGCACGTCTTCTTTTCTTTATTGTTCGGTCTCTATATAGAGCCATCTCTTGTAGCTCTGAAAACTCACAGAGAAATATACAAAACCTTTTTGGGTTCTAAATTTTCACATGGTATCAAAGCAGGAACCATAGGGTCCTGTCTCTGTTTGTTCATTCATTCAAAAACCTTACTTCGGTCGTGCCTCATTCACTACAATGACAGAAGAAAGTTCCTCAAATCATGAGGCTACAAGCTCCTCAAACTCCTTTCAAGGTGAAATCAATTCAAATTTGCGTCTATGCTCAGTGCTACTAAACGAGTTCAACTATCTACCTTGGTCTCGTGCCATTTCACTTGCCTTAGGAGGAAGATCAAAGCTCGGGCATATCAATGGAAGCATCGGACCGCCTGAAAGATCATCCACGTCATATGGTGCATGGCATGCAAGCGACCAGTTAGTTATGTCCTGGATACTCAACTCCATGGAACCCAAGTTATCTGAACACTTCAGTTACTCAGAGTCCTCTTTCACTCTCTGGGAATCCATTAAAGAAATGTATGGCAGTCAAAATAATGCAGCTCGTATTTTTCAGCTCAAAAAGGATATTGCTGGGCTAAAGCAAGGTGATTGATCCTTCGTCCAACATCTAGGAAGCATCAAGTCCATGTGGAATGAACTTGACATGTATCGTCCACACTCAACCGATTCTGCTGTGCTCCTTAAAAGAGCTGATGAGGACAAAGTATTTCAACTTCTAGCAAGTCTAGGAGCTGAATATGAAGACCTTCGAAGCCACTTGTTGATGACTCCTGAGCTGCCTTCATTTAATGGTGTCTGTCAAGCTGTTCAAAGGGAAGAAACTCGAAGAAAAGTTATGCACATTGAGTCAAAATCAAATCCTGAGGCTAGGGTTTTCTCAAGCTACCATAAAAACACTAGTGAAAATTTTTTTGCCAGTAAGAAAGCAGATTGGAAATGCACTCACTGCAACATGAAAGGTCACCTAAGGGATAAATGCTGGATCTTGCACCCGGAGTTAAAACCAAAATTTGATAAGGAAGGAAGAATGATCAAAGAAGGGAAAAGAATCAACCCTAAGGCCCTCCACTCATCCAGTTCTTCGACGGGTGGAATATCAAATTTCACTGAGAATCCAATAGATCTCATAAATGAGTTTGCAAACTTTCTTCAAAGACGAGGAGGCAACACTCAAATTGAGGAAGCGACCACTTCAACTCCTACTGCTATGCTCGGAAAATTTGCAGGTTTTTTGGCTGAGACTTCAACTCATGACAATGTCTCAGGTATCATCACTGCTCTCAAAACTGCACTTAATGAAATTAGTCATGATTGTTGGATTATAGACTCAGGTGCTACTGACCACATAACAAATAAGTCTTCTTGCTTGGATAAGTTTCAAAATATGCCTGAGTCTACACGGGTGTCTGTTGCAAATGGGAACGGAGAACCTATTCTGGGAAAAGGGAAACTTAAACTGTTAAGTGATAAGATTGAGTCAACAGCTTTATATGTACCTTCTTTCCCTTTCCAACTCCTGTCCATAAGTAAAATCACACGCACCCTAGATTGCCTTGCCATATTCTCTCCTCACAGTGTTGTATTTCAGGATCGGGTCACTCGGAAGAAGATTGGTGAAGGGTATCTCCTGAATGGACTCTATTACCTCTCAAAGAATTCCAAGTCTCTTAAGCACCCCCTTGCAAGCCTCAGTCTCTCTCAAGATTACCACCTTTGGCATCTTCGGTTGGCTCATCCTTCAGAACATGTGATGACCAAACTGTTTCCAAATTTTTGTAAGCCTATACATGCTTGTGAAATCTATCAAATGTCGAAAGCTACTAGGCTTCCTTTTGTTTCTTCCAAGTCTAGAACCTGTAAACTGTTTGAAATCGTTCACTCTGATATCTGGGGTCCCTCTCGTGTAAGCTCTTTTGATGGATATAAATATTATGTCACCTTCATTGATGATTACTCTCGTGTTACATGGGTCTACCTCTTGAAATCCAAAAGTGAGTTTTTTGATGCCTTTAAAGATTTTCATAAA